ACGGATCGTTGAGTCGGATAAAATACTGTAGCATACCTACAGCCCACGGATGGTGGTAGTTGAGAAGTATACAGGTAGTTTGGGATTTTCGTCTATCAACATGGGCAGTGGTGCGCCGATTTGGTTGAGGTAGATTTGTTGTCTTTGTCCTTTCGAAAGCTATCTCTAACAACGGGCCATCATTGTCATCGTTTAAAATGATATTGTACCAGAAGCTGCGAAGGAGTGAAAATAGAATGTTATAGTGGCAGGAGCGAATTTCACTTCTGTGTTACTAGTGATAATCATTGAGTGAATGGGATGTAGTGTGGAAAATAAGGTGGATTCTTCTGAAATTTTAAAGTATGAAATCATGATTTGAGATGACATCAAAGCCAACACCTGCTTACCTCTTGTACGTATTAAGGACACATAAATCTGACGACGCTGTGTGAATGATGGTCTGTGGCTTTTGTCTCCATCATATTCGTTCCCAAACGCAAATTATCGCACAATAACGCCTCGCCTCATATAACTTAGATCAGCCTTAGTGCTTTTCAAAGTGTGCAGATGCTTCCTTGGCACTGTTCGGTCAGCTTATTTCTCGCTAATTGAGAGAATGTGTGGGATACGACGGGCATTCGAATCCTTTCTATCCCCGCGAAATGAAGCTGAACTGTGAACTCAGATCAACTCTAGATGCTCCATGATACTCCGTGACATTATATAAATAATCATCGAAATGATGTCATTTCCGATTCAACAATGTTTCGCCCAAAATAGAGATCCCATTTGTTACTGATCACCCTGTATTCAAGGTCACTGTGAAAAATTAAATGATCTTTGGCATCCTGTTGACATAATGGGAAGGGAGCTAAATGCCATAACCTTGGCCCGAACTCAAATGCCGGAGAAGGTTAACCAATTTCCGTATCTTCAAGCATCCCGACGTTGTAAATATAAATTCTTCAAGAAGCATCTGCAAGGTTCATGCTAATTAACCTATAATCTAGTTATTTTATCTGCACTTTCGCTTCTACTTTTGTCAGCTCCTACCAAAATGCAAATTAACTACATTACATAAAAACAGAGCTTTTGAAAGTTAGGAACAAAGAGCTATAGCAGTGATGATGACCTTCATAATATTCCATCGACAAGATCCGAGAATTACTTTAGACCACAGTTAGTCATCTGCTAGCCGAGTTTCTTCGCACTTGTAGAATTCTGAGGCAAAACTTAACAGGAATTTGATTTGTGAATTTCCAGAGTTAAATTGCTTCAAATTTTATTTACATTTTATATAATTTAAGCCGCAAGCAGAGATTAAATTGTAAGTATCTTAGGTTTATACAAGCATATTGCACGGGACGATAAGTTACCTAACAGTCTCTTACAGAAACCATAATTTTTTGAGTGTTTTCTTTCCTATACGTCTGCTGACAAAACTGTATATTGAAATTTCATCAACTACAGATTCATATTTTACAGGAATACATGAATTTAAATTTCGTTGGAGAAAATACCTTAATGGGGAAAGCGGTTATTTTGATTAATCAAGTTTATTATGAACCAAATGTATATTTGAATTTAAAGGTTATAAGACTGCTTTTATTTCGCTAACAACTTAAATCTAAGATTCTGTTTTAGAAGTATAAACTGAACTCCTCTACAATTAGAAACAACATTACTTTCAAAATCACTTGATTTACTGCAATTAGTAGATCTAAACTAATATCAGATATTTCAAATTTATGTAGCAGTTCTTTATTATTGACAATATTTATAATATTTATTATTATTATTTGACAAGGTCAAGTTATATCATCTGTATTGAACTTGCAAGAATTTGGTTTTCGAAAGCGTTAGCGTGGTGTCTGTAGAAGAAACGTATTAAGTGACGTGATCTGGGACAGCGCAGTTTGTAGTGCAAATGGAAGTAAAGCAAATCTGGACCATTTTTAGCAAATTGCTTTTGAAAAAATAAACTTGGAATTATTTAATCAGACATCGATTTCTGTCCCACCATAACGAATGTATTTATTAATTGTTACATCCTCTGAACTCCACTATTCTTGCCTATTAAGATGGTTCTACGAGATTAAAGGTTTTAAGTAATTAAAGGTATCCAAAACAACCTGACGGATAATCTATAATAGGGACATTCTACCATCCCTTCTGTGAATGTGAGAGAAGTGCTTACGTTTCGATGGCTGTTTCTTTGAAGGTAGCTGGAACAGGTTTAACAGAAACAGAATAAAACAGGCTGGAACAGGTTTAACAGAATAAACTGCCAAATAGAACTGCACTATAAGCATTTCACACGAAACGTTTGTACTTAGGAATATACCATTTTATTATTATAAGTTATATCAATGAGATATAGTTTGAAAATTTAAGTATAAAGACCTATATGTTGTTACTTATCTTCTACTCAAGATATCTACTCGTATCAAGGACTACGAATTAATAATGGCCAAGATAAAGAAATGATTACCTGGTTCTTCTTGATTTCTTTCTCCTTGGCCAAGATTTTATGCACCTCGTAAGTGACAGTAAGACTTTTGCTTAGTTCCTTTGCAAATCTGATAGAAGATATCTGAAGACTGGTTCCAAAGGACTCATACCCTTGTTTCCTCAACGCCGACCTTTGATAGGAGCTTTCGGCTTTTGATAAGAATTTACAGCATTTTAAATGCAGTCTTGCTCTAAAATAGTATATACACTAGTTTCCAAAAATTAAGAAAAAGTTACAAAATTGCAATAACTCGTTCAAAAATAAACCAATCCGTATAAAATTTAAATTGTTCTAAGAATTGCCGAGTAAAATTACAGTATGCAAATTAGTGGCATTGCAATCGAAATACATAATCTGCGAGGAGCATAAAATTGTATTAAATGTTTCAGTGCAAGCCTGAAAATGTCGGTAACCAGTCCGTAACAGTGATCGCCCGTCATCATTTGCCCAAAGAACTGCGATGGAGAGCTATTAGGAGACTAGAGGCAGGATAAAATCAGATAAAAGTGTCCAGATGGCTGAATATGAGTCTTACGGTGATTCACAGACCTTAGTAACTATTTTTAGCTACAGATTGGTGTCAATATAAACGATGAGTAGAAGCCTTCACGAAGGGGGTCTGTACGCAAGGCGATCAGCCATTTGCGAGCCGCTCGCTTCACATCATAGAAGGAAAGATTGAGGTGGGCACGTCAACGTGTCCACTGGATAGCTGATCAATAGACGACTGTTTTCTTTAAGGATGAGTCCAGATTTAGCCTCCAAAGCTATAGTAAGCATTATTTGATTTGGATAGAATTTGGAACCCGTTGTCATTAATCAAACATCCAGAAAGAGATGCATACGGAGAAGGCAGTGCCTGTGTTTGGGGTAGCATCTCTTTGGGTGGACGTACAGACCTCCATGTATTACCACGTGGAACCTATAGAGATGATATCCTTTATGCTTGTATGTGCTTTTATACCGGGACAATAGGTGATAATTTCCTGCTACAGGACGACAAAGCTACACCGCACAGGGCTTACATCGCGAATGATTATCTTCAACAGCAAACAAATCCGCGCATGGAGTGGCCAGCTCGATACCGGACCTCATTCCTATCAAGCATGTTTTGGATGCTTTAGGAAGACTTATAGCTGCCTGCTCTCAACCCTCCTCTTCAGACTCTTGCCACGCTTGCAACTTGCCATTGCTTTGCGAGAGCAATGGCTCTCACTTTTTACGGAACTGATAGAATGCATAATTGGCAGCATTGCACATCACTGGTGTCCGCCGATAACATCGCGGCAAAACCATCGCGGACGAAAACGTCGCGGAGAAAACAACGCAAGGCGAAAACGTCGTGCTACAAAACATCGTGGGAGAAAACATCGCAAAGAGAAAACATCGCAGTTCTAAAACATCGTGGTACAAAACATCGTCGTCGAAAATAAAGCGGTTCAAAAACTTCGCAGTTTAAAAACATCGTCATCGAAAATATCGTGGTAAAAAATAAAGTATCTACAAATCATCGCATGACGATAACTTCGCAGACATGCTTTTTTCAGGTTTTAATTATTGTAAATGGATATTCCCATAATGATTTGTGAGCGCAGTATGTAAAGAAGGATAATTTTATTTTCACATATTTCATTAACTAATAAATGTTTACTGAAAAAGTAAGAAGGAAACTTAAGCATAAAAATTAAAATGCAAATTATAGATTATACTTTTCAATGAAAAATTACCAGTTAAAAAAACTTTATAAAAATGATTTATTAATGGCCTTTGTTAGTTAACTATGTCGGTTTAAAATTCTATTAAGTGCTATAAGTTGCATTAATTTTCTATGCTTAAGTTTCATTCTTATTTTCTCAGCAAAAATTTATTAGTTAATAAAAAGTATGAAAGTAAAAATTATCTTTTTTCTATCTTGCGATCACAAATCAATATGGGAATATCCATTTACAGTTATTAAACCCTGAAAGAAGCATGTCTGCGATGTTATCGTCATGCGATGTTATCGTCATGCGATGATTTGTAGATACTTTATTTTTTACCACGATATTTTTACGACGATGTTTTTAAACGTGAGTTTTGAACCGCTTTATTTTCGACGACGATGTTTTGTACGACGATGTTTTAGAACTGCGATGTTTTCTCTTTGCGATGTTTTCTCCCGCGATGTTTTGTAGCACGACGTTTTTGCCTTACGTTGTTTTCTCCGCGATGTTTTCGTCCGCGATGTTTTCGGCTGTAACCACATCACTATATGACTTGTATTGCATTTAGGGGAGATCATACTCCATATTGAAAGTAATTTTTCTATATCAAACTGACGCATCCGATTTGTTCATTTTATACATACGCTAGTTTCTATAATATCATAATTGTCTGGCAATGTCGTTTCATGTTATTTTATACTTTACTATGTGTTGTTTACTTCAGATCAATTTCATTAAATTCACACATGAACTTTTTGACTAAGCATCATTTTTGTAATTTTTCTTTAATTTATGATAACCAGTGTATTTACGAACATCCAGAACTTCTCCTGGATTCAAACCTGAGCTTAACGATATAGCAGCTGTAACCAAGGTTAATAGACAAACAAGATTAGGCTCTTTCCAACGCTCCAGCTTAAAGATGTAATTTGATGCACAAAAATGAAAGAAACGAAGACACAAAGTAAGTACGGAATCATTTCTTTTAAATGATGAATGAATGAATCAGTGAGTTCTTTTAAATGATGAATGAATGAATGAATCGGTGAATTCTTTTGAATGATGAATGAATGAATTAGTCACTATGAATCAGTGATGTCACAGCAGTGCAAACCTTGTGGTATAGTAACTTTTGATGGCACTTCTAACCATGATATCGATATTAAGGCAGCCAGGCATATATTAACAGGTATATGATTTGTTATTTCGATTACCGCGAAGCACACCAGGGCTATCTGCAGAAAGAGAGGGAAGCCTTCGTGAAGACTTTTTAAGCAAAAATGGCTCGTATTCATTTACACATGGGAGAAAACCTGAAAATTCTCTTATAGTCAGTAGTAGAACCTTATAGCCAGTAGATATGAACCAGTAGCAGGCATATACAGTGTCCACCAGAAAAAGGTATTTAACAGATGATATTTGCGCGAGTTATCTTTACAGTAAGTAATATGGTGTTTTCTCAACAGACATGGATACGTCATGCTTGTAATATGTGACGTACGACGTATCATAAAGAATCAAGATGGTTTTAGGAAACCTTAAAGGACAGCGTATAGCGCAGGAAATCAGTTATGCTGGATGTCTTTCGTCAGAAAAATTACAGCGGCATGTACAGCCATTCCAACGAACATACTTGTTCAAGAAACCTTGTTCAAGAAACTTCTTGCCGTCGCGCTATGTGTCTAGCCGCTAATAGCCACCACTTTGATACTTTAAGCACTCTAAGCTACTTTACGGGTTCAGGTGCAGGAAGATAGTATTAAACTTAACTCAGCTACGATATGCATGATTATATTAACCTGTAATTAGGGTTGGTTCTAGCACACAACAAAGAATGTTTCACTGAAACGAATGAAAAAACGTTTGTGAATGTTTTTGTGAATGAAAGAACGTTTTGCGATGGGTCTTGCATTGTTAAGAAGCATGCATGTTGCTTTTAAGTCATTTAAACTTTTACACAACTTGCTGTCCCAATTTAAAAGGAAATTTAAAGTCTCCATGCCTTGTCAAAACCTATTAAAATCGTCAATGTGCCAGGTGGCATTAATAATAAATTAAAGACTTTTTTAATACTACGCGGACACTACAATTCTTAGAACTGCCAGCTTGTCATGCTAAATGATATAATAACATAGAGCAACATAACGTCTAGTGAAAAATGAAAAGGCCAAATCGTATGAGATTTAGAACTTTTTTTTATATATAAAAAAGAGTGTTCAGTCTAAGAATACATCCAAGCGTTTTGGATAAGGCTGTAAACCTCAAAGAAGTTCTGCCAGCGGGAGAAAAATGTTAGAACTGAAATAATCAATTCGGAACTTCAAATAAAGAAATTTCCGAGTTTCTAAAACCAAGAATAGATGAAAGAAAATAACTCTTCCTAGCTCTAGGGCAATGTTAGCCTCGTGGGCAATGCAGATTGAAGATTTCATTTTTCCGAAGCGGCCAAGCCAATAAAAGACCAAAAATGTTTTCCGTGTTTAGTTTTTAAAACTTTCCGAATTTCCACTGCGTGGAGTGATTTTCGGAAGCGTTCTTCTCTAATCTTCTTAAATTTTCATGCGTCATTCTTTCAGCTTAAGTTCTCTCTCTTTTGTTTACTTTGGCGCTTAGGTGGCGTTTCCATTATGAAATTCTTGCATTTTCAACAAAGGAAAATTTGACCGTCAAATAATTGCAAAACTTTCCAAAAGAATAATAATATTAACTTCAGTGACTCTTTTTACAGATAGAATAGTGGACTGTCAAAACAATTATGATTTTGGAATGCGCATGACTAAGTAAAAGAGACATTGTTTGGCAAAAGTTTATTTGATTATTCATGTTTTTACTTATTTTTATAACATAGAAAAACGATGTTCGCAATCCCAGATTATATTTTAAAGTTTTCCGGATTACATTTTCTTCTTTTTCGACGGCATAAAACTAAGATTGTTGTTAACTGATTTACGTGTTTTTTATTCCATCTTTTCAGATATAAAACAGCCCGCGGTGAAATACTTTCTCCATAAAGGTATATGCACCAATATTGGCTAATGGCCACAGTTAAATTAAATGTGTTATTTCTCTTACTTTTTAGAATAAAGTTATTGTTTTCAAAGTAAGTGTTGAGATAAAAAGTTTTAAAATATTTATATATTTTAAAGTATATCATTCCATTTTGTTTTTTGATTTTTATGTAATAAGTAATCTAAATGATATATTTTCTATATTCAGAGAAAATTTTACCAGAGTCCAGAAGAGCTGATGATGAAAATAGGTTTTTCTCGCTGGGAGTGTCAAGTTCACAAACATATCCTTCATGGGTGCTATACTATCATAACTCGAAGACTATAGAAAAGGCACAAATTTAGCTCAATGCTCAAATAAGAGATGATTGTTGTATTCGTTCGTTTCTCACGTATATTGGCTGCAGTACTGATACTCCTCAGTTTCTTCGAGATGAATTTAATGATGTAGAGCAATTGCTCCCAAACTGGTGGCTTGCGGGCCGCAAGCAGTTCCCTAAGTAATTTTATACTGCCCGAGGAGGCATTTCAATTATGAAATTGTTGCAAATACAATGTTACAATGATTTCAAAAGTTTAATTGTCTGAGGTCCTACATTATATTATTTAATTACTATTAAAAGTTAAAGTGAATAACGGATCAAAAAGTCCATAAATAGAAGCTAACTAATTTACAGTGTAATATAAATTTTACTCAAAGATTTAGAGATATAAATTTCATTAACATTTATTCGTACTTGTCAAAAAATAAGTAAGTTCATTTACGAATTTTTACACAAAGAATCTCTTTGTTGGGAATGCATACATAGGCGAACAGCTTTTATTTGCAGTTGAAAATTAATAAGAAAAAACTATATTGACTAATGAGCATCTACAATCCGCTATGAAGATATTTCTAGCAATTTTTCCCCTAGGCTAAAAGCTTTATCAAAATCAAAACGCTATCAAGTGACAAATTGTAGAGAGAAATAAAAGAAGTTTATAATTATTTACATAAAAATGTATGTATTCGTATTTATACGTCGAATAAAATATCAACAAATAAGAGAAGGAGACTAAGTTATCATTATTTATTCTCAAGCTTTGTCCTACTCAGAAAATTTTCTCTGAAAAGTTAAGAAAGTTTTCATAATTTTTTTCAGTTTAAATTAAGGTAATTTATTTTGTGATTAATTAAACATATTAGGGTTATTTTAAATAAACATCAGTCTGAAAATTTAATATTTATCTGTCAATAAACTTGGATTACAAAGTGTAACCATCAAAAATGTCTTGCTCGTACCAAATTTTAGATTTCAATCAGAAAATAAATATAAGTTTCACTTTTTTTCCTTTTCGATATTATTATTATTATTATTTATGTATGTTTTAAAAAATAAGTAGAAAGCGAACTTTAAAATTTATTTAAAATATTTTTTTATTTTATTAAGGAATTAAAAATTTTTTTTAAAAGTTGTTCTGGTCCGCCGGCTATTTTCAGATCGTGCCCGCGAGAAATTTGAGCTTGACACTACTGATGTAGAGGATGTTACAGATTAGACTTACCAAAATTTTATAATAAATACTAAAGTGTCACTGTATACTTCAATGACATTTCTGTGTTGGAAGTGGAAAAACAATCATTGGCTTACTTCTACCATAAGACTGCTCTTAAAGAAACGTATTTTAAAGCTGCCGAAATCCCCCAGATGTAAGAAAAGTTTACAGACCTCGAAAGAAGCAAAACTGAAAAAAAAAATTGCAACATACTTCTTGCAATATCTCAGAAGAAGTCTGACGATCTACAAAGTTTAATCATCGGCAGTGCAATCAATACGAAGTTGTTATTCAGCATTTTACAGCAATATAAAATTTGAATCTTGGAAAAAAGATTATGTTTCGAAACTTAAGTAAAATATGTAATATATTCTCGAAAAACATTTTCACTTTCTTTTGTAGTTTGATACATAATTTAGCATTAAAACATTAAGAATATTATTTTTATAACTACGTAGTACATGCCAAAATGTAGTAACATTATTAATAGAACTTAATTCCTTGTCTCTAGAAATTTTTTTCATTATTCACATACATAACACACCTGCAGATTCCTCATTATTTAATTTCCCTAAAAATAATACAAACATATGGAGGCGACAATTTTAAAAATGATACAGCTGTTCATAGTGGACGACACAGAATCTCGTTTCGAGATTAAAGGCCCATTCGGTCTAATACCCTTTTGAGCTAATACATAACACAGTTTGATGGAATTTATTGCTTAATAGAGTTAATTTTATTAATTTTATAATCCTTATTATTAACGGAAATTCTACGATACCTTGTAATAATACTTACTCCTTAAAGGATCAATTAAGCTTTAGTTTCTGCATTTCAAGATCAAGGAAATCTCTAAACGCGTTTATCTCAAAACTTCATTTTTCGAGTTCTGCCAATATTGCTGCGCATGAACGTTACCGTTCTAGGGAAAATTGTTTGGCGCTTATTGTCCCATAAAGGAAACGATTACAGTAGAGTTTAACTAAAAATCTACGTCTTTTTACTTCCTTGTACGAAGTACGAAGTAAAAAGAAAGTTTTTCGCGATTACAAAATCGCGAAAAACTTCAGGCATCATATTTGAAAGAAAATATCCATTTTGACCTCTAAGGAATGCAATTTAATCATATTTTTGTGTGACATCCGTACGTAAGGAGCTCTTTTCCCCCCCAAAAATTATAAAACTGATTTAAAATGAATTCTGAAGAGAAATTTCCGTGGCGTCTGTGCGTAGGTATGTACGTATCTTGCATATCTCAAAAACGAGTAACCTCAGAACACTAAAATTTTGTATCTAGGATTGCTATAGCAGTAGATGTGCACCTCGTATTTTGGTTGCTATCGGTCGCACCAAAATCTCAGTTTCTTTATTCTTATATGTTTGTAACTTGAGCAATTTTTTCTTTAAAAATGATTGAATTATGTTGTTCTTATATTCCAGTTAAGGTTTTTATGCCTTTAATAAATTTGCACGCGATATTTTTAGAATTATTAACAATTTAAAAGTTGTTCAAGTGCCGCTAAGCCTTTTGCAATGGCGGCAATGTTTGTTTACATTGAAACAGCAGAATAGAAGATTTGTTGCCAATCTAGAGAAAGTAAGCTTCGCAAAAACAAAGATAACGCCTTCTTTTATTATTGTGAATTAAATGATGCTTAATCCATTCTGGAATTTATTCCAGGAAATAAGTGTTTAAAATTTACTTCATAATTTTCAATACAGTTATTCTGAGTTTTTATTTTTGCCTTGTAGCGAAGTGAAGAAACTAAATTAATTGATGAGAAATATGAATAGTCTGTGAAAAAAAAAATTTTTTTTGTTGTTGTTTGCTTAATTTCTTTTATACATCGTTTTAGATTTATTGTAGTATTTGAATAGAATATGTGGCAAAGATTAGATAATTCTTAAGATGATATAAATTTTGGCATTCTGAGTTAAAAAATGACAAATTATGCTATTTCATCATATAATCATTTGCCAATAATTGCTTAGCTAAAGAACAGTATGAAATGTTTTTCAAAAATGCCTGTCAATGCAACATACAACAGATGACGCCACCGGAGCACCAGCATACTTTCAAAAGCTTTCCAGCTTTTCATTTTCAAAAATAGATGGAGCCACATGAGCACCTTCCTATCTTGTAAGTTTACTTATCTCTCAACGGATGGCGGCACTGGAGCCTCCATTAAAAATCTCTGAATTCTAGCACAGTATGTGTACAAGTACTTTCCATTTCACTGGATTCAACTCCCTTGATCCTCACAATTTAGAAAAGTCAAGAATAAATATATTTGGTAAAGGCCGTAATAGGCCGATTGCCTCTTACCCGAAGTTAAGACATAAGTTAAAAAATGAATGAAATTTAACGGTGTTAAGCGAACCTATGGCCAGAGTGTCGCTATGGTAAACAAATATAGTGAATTTTAAACAGTGCATTTATTCTAATGTGGTTTATGCGCTAATGAAGAAATAAATTTAATTCAATCCAATAAGTTTAAATAAAATGCAAGAAAAAATGCGTATAATTTAAAATATTCCGTACAAAGAAGTCATGTGGTGTACACATCAGATTTTTTTTTACCTAATTTTAAATCTTGGTAATTATTTACATGTTTTTAAGTTTTCCTTGGTTTGAAAAATATAAAAAAATGGAATACAGCTCATAATTTTAAAGAAGCTATTACATAAATATTTTTTTCCATTGACAACATAATCTTATCCATTAAAATCCATAAAATCCGTTAAATCTATTAGAAACCTAATGTTATCAAATATTAAACAGAAAACTGTGGTATGCTTTATATTATTTTAAAACAAAGATTAATAAAGTGATGTTTAACTTCTTTTCTTCCTAACTGAATTGACTGCTTCATGCTTTTTGTTTTATGAAAATAAATAATAATTTTTCGTTTCATTTTAGTGAAACAAAACAAAATACGGTTTAATGTCAAGTTGTAAGATCTATGTAAATGAAAATTAATTTCGTTATTTAGTTTTAAGCGAATATTTCATGTTTAGGAAAATAAAAGATAATTTCACTTTTCTGAAAAGTAGAGTTATTTTTTTTTCTAACCAAGTAATCATTATCAAAATTAAAAAAAAAAAAAAAAAACATTTTCTCTTCTGTACTGCAGAAAATATCTACTTTACTGATAGGAAAAATTGACTGGATAGTTCAGAATGTTTCAGTGTTCGCATACATTGTGTCACTAAGTTATGTTATCTGAAAAGGGCAAATCGACGAGGGCTAACTGGCCTCGTCGCGTTTTGATATTTGCACTAAATTCATAAACTCATCTATTTATATAAACTAAGTGCTTAAGATTGCTTCTGATATTAACAGCATCTTTAAAAGATTTTATAATTTTATTATTCTATAAAACAGGAAGCCATCTGCAGAAATCTGCAGCTAAATGTTTTTGTTTCAAAGAAAAAAAGCGATAATTTTCACGCTTCCGTGTCACTCATGCGTGTCATTCAACAAAAATAAAACCGTAAGAATCCCGCCTAAACGTCATTACGTCAAGAAAAAATGATGTCATCTGAATGTATGTTCAATCACGAGCACGAACTTTTCTCTACTATGTGCGTGGCGCGGTACAGAATGCTTATATACGTCCCGTTCCTGTAGCTAGTCCGTTCTTCGAGATTCATGCTCTATTGAACTGTCAGTGTTGAGAGATTTTTATTGCTCTGCCACTGATGAGCTGAATAGCTGAGAGAAAATAGTCTGAGTATATGAGTAAGAGACCAATAATGTTGAACAATATATTATTTATGAATTTCGTGTCCCTTGAAGTGAATTAGGAATAACTTCTTTAAGAACTAACGTTTGATTTTTATTAACAGGGTAAAAGTAGCCTGAAAGTTAAACTTATATTAGAAAATTTGCAAGTTCCTACAGTTTTCCTTTTCAAAGCTTCTATCAAATTGATGCATTAAGCTTTATGCTTAATTTAAACTGGAATAAAATGTTCTAATATTTCTGAGCATGCAGCATGAATATTTCTTTTACGTTTCTCTCAACCATAATGTCATACTTACTCGCGCATTTTCTCCCCTCCACCTTTTTCGCGTAAGATTCTGCAAATTTTAAAGATTCATGTTTATTTTCTCTTCTATAAGATGTTAAGAAAGCGAGATTCCCTAAATTTAAAATAGATTCGTCTAATTTTATTTCCGATAACACTTTCCATTTGCAACTCAAAATGGAACCAGAACTCAGATCTGATGAGAATTTCGGTAACTGATCAAAATTTCGATTCTTCTGCTAGGTTCATTTCAGACTAGACAAACTGCGTGCCAGGAAAATTAATTTTACCTAACCTGAGATTAAAAAAGAAACGACAGTTTATATGAATCTCGAATCTACCGTTGCTGGCCACATTGCAATGAAAAATCACTAAATTCTTCAATCACCGCTCTAACGGTCATACTCGAATTTCTTTTTACTCCTGATCTTGCACAGGGTGTGTCAGAACGGCACATGAAAAGCAAAAGAGAGCGAAACAGCTTCCAAAACGTTCCGTCCTAACAAATCTTTACGACCGATAAAATGATGACGTCACGAAGCCCAAATGGCCATCGGGCACACCCTATGCATTAGGAAGGGGAAAAAAGGGGTACACTACATTACCGAAGGCGTTTATGGACGTCGAAAACGCTTTTATACGTGCAATCGATGTAAATTACGTCACCGTTTAACCCAGTTTCGCATCTCTTTTCGTATCGCACATTTAAGTCTTATGGCAGCGGTAAAAGTGATGAGAAAAATACTCTATCACAAGCAAAGGATACCTAGGAAAGGTATTCTCTGGGTGAAGTAGCTAGAGTGAAAGAATTGTAGCGCCATCTATGAGAAACAAACTTCATATCTGTCTAATCTAAAACTTGTTGCTTTTAGCGTGCTTTAGTCTTTTAACTATACTTTTTTATCTTTAATTTGCTAGTATTAGTAAATTGCGTCTACTTTCAGCTTTTCTTGCATGATATCTTATGTGCATACTTAAATAAAAACTTCTACGAAAGCAAATTTTCTGTTTCTTTAAAATTAAATTCACTACTAGCTCATAATAATAAAAGTGAATTTTTGATCTTAGAAAGAATTACCGCATTTCCCGTGCAGCTCTCATAATATATATGCTCATAAAATATATTCTCTCATAATATATATGCTGTAGAACATCCAGTTAGCAATCAACAAATCTGTGGTTCGAATCCCAAAAAGGCGTAGTTAAAATATAGCTGACGAAAATTCCTAAACAATTAGATATGATCAACTGAGTTTTCCTTCAAGTGGGGAAAATAACGGGACTTATTGCATTCTCCGGGTGTATTTCTGTAGTGAAAGAGTTGG